TTCACACGATGTTTTCCGGCCTCCGGGAACAAATGAAAACTCAGGTCTGGGTTTGTTTTCGCCAAAGACGAACACTGAGGTACCGAACAATACGAATTACTCATTTTTTATAAGAAAAAGCACGCCTAAAAACAGATTTAACACAAAAATAAACAATTGCCTATTCAACGAAGCACAGAACAAAAATTGTATGTCATCGAAAAGGATTCCAGATCTGACCACTAGAGGTCGTATTGGTTATTTTGATATGCCTATTGCTTGCTACTAGAATCATATCTTACCGAAAAATACTTCCAAACCAAGCATAATTCTGCACTTTCAAGTTGTCACCTAATAAAGGCTGGAGTACCACAAGGGAGTGTTCTGCGGCCTATATTATTCTTAATATACACCGCGGACTTACCTACTACAAACAATACTAAAATAGCAATATTCACATATGATACAGTCCTTCTATCAACACACATTAATCCAGTTATTGCATCGCAACAACTCCAATATCATCTAGATGTAATAAAAGTTTGGTTTGAGCAATGGAAAATTAAAATTAATTAAACCAAATCCGCACAAGTGACTTTCACAAACAAGCGATCAGTATGTCCTCCTGTTAGTTTTAACAACATTTAAATCCCCATTCAGGACGAAGTAAAATATCTAGGATTACATTTGGATCAGAAGCTAACTTGGAAAAAGCATATTCTAACAAAGAGGCAACAACTAAATTTAAAAGTAAGAGAAATGTCCTGGCTCCTAGGACGTAAATCCAAATTATTTCTTGACAACAAACTACTACTACATAAATGTACCTTAAAGCCGATTTGGACGATTGGAGTACAAACCATCCAATACAAAAATAATTCAAAGTCTACAGTCTAAAGTATTGAGATCAATAACCAATGCGCCATGGTACGTGAGCAACTTCACATTGCACAATGACCTACACGTCCCTTTCGTCACAGAGGAAATAAAGAGACTCTTAAGACTATATCACAATAGACTACAAGACAACGAAAATCTATACATAGCGCAGTTAAACATCCCTCCAAACGTCACAAGAAGTTTACAACGACAATGGCCACAGACCTGATATAGTAGATACATGACGAGGATTAATCTTCATCCAACAACCCTAGCCATGGTATCGATAAGAGGTTAGTCAGTGGAAGATTTCTCTTTTTAAGTCAACTTCATATAATACATTTAATTATTGCTCCAATGAGAGTAGATTGTAAATATGCAGTTTTCAAATAAAAAAAAAAAATAATGTTTACAACGAAAACAAAAAAAAAAAACAAAGAAAATACATCAAACTTTAAATTAACGCATTAACGTAATCAATGACTGTCACTCGAAAGTGATTAAAATTTTGCATGCAAACTTTTCTTATGCCGTGATAGTCCGTATTGGTATAAAATCACCAGGGTCAAAATACCGATAAGTGAGAACGAAAATAACTGCCTTCAAAAATTACGAACGGCCTATGAATCTTTGGAAGTAGTTTTTGATTTTGTTTTATGTTCTGAAGTTATTGCAGATATTTAAATAAACCTACTAAAACAGTGAAAATCGTATTTTTACGTACGATCTCACTGATGCAGTCGTACTCTGACAGGCTCCTGGTTCACCTACAGTGAATCAGTGAGTCTGTGTGACGCTATGAAGGTGATTCCCGAATAGGGGTTGCTCAGGCGCCAGTTTTGGTATCGCAGTTTGCTCTGCGACCCTGTGGTACACCAGAGTGTACTCAAGGTGAACTCAGTGAAGGTAAATAATTCCAGGCGGTCACTGCTAGGTAGCCACTATATCAGAATAAATAAAAATAAAACACTTATCTTCTTTACACCTCGTAACCTACGGTACCCTAAAAGAGAACGGTTAAGAACCAGTAGTAAAAGAAACACAAGAATAGGTAATAAAATATATATTTACAAAAAAAATAATACAACGGTAATTAAATATGAACGGCTCCCTATATGCGGCAAACTTATTAAAAATAAATTATTATCAATGAAAACTAATTAAATATTAACGGCTCCCTATATGCGGAAACTTGATTAAAAATAAATTATCACCAATGAAAACTAATTAAATAATAACGGTTTAAAGTCCCTCTCATGTAGACATCTGGTAGTCCATAGCTTCTACAAGAGAGAAACCCTTTCCACGAGCTGTTATAAAGACTAGGGGCTGAAACAGCTCTGATTATCGACGGAAGGAAGCAAGCGAATACCGCTATCACGCCCTGATTAACGCGAAAATGGATGAAGGGTGCAAGTACCCCCGGATTTAAATCCAATTTACTTTATTACCTTGTTAGATACTAAGAAAATTAAAAGTTCGTATTACCTTTTACTAGTACGGGAAAATATTTCCGGTTCGCTAGCACAGGAGGCCAAGCGGTCCGGGAATTATAAAACTCCCTATATACGGAACAATTTAAATATGACGGTAATCAAATGCAAGCAAATAAATGAAATCAAAGTTTTCAAAACGTCTCTGTTTCTTAGACCAGATGGATCGTCGCTCTGGTAATTGAACAAGAATGATAATTTTCAACGCGGTGTTTGGGATAAAAATGCGATGGTTAACGTAAAAATTATTTTGAGATTTGCCCAGAGTTGACTGAGAGCGTGTGTGAATTTAATTTTACAGAAGTCGTCTGGCTTCATTCAATAACTAATTGTGGACGGGGAACGGAATGATTCAAATACAACTGAATGAATAAATAAAAGGACAAATAGTTTTCGGCTGTCGGCAATCAAGGCAGAGTAATTCTCAGATGTCATCGAATTAATGCTTTTTTCGCTGAGAAAGATGGTATCCCACTACAGCCGACTGTTTACAATTTAAAAATAAAAAAATGTCCTTCTAGTACCTTGACAAATAAAAGTAGATAATTGGTACGAAATCGGCTCTACTCGGATTTCGGCAAATATAGGAATATTTTAATCTACGAGGGCACTAGTAATTGTTGAAAAACGGTAATTCCTGGGAAACATAAATACGGGGGAACTTCTACATGTTATAGGTCCAGAATTAATTAAAATATACATTTTTAAATTAATTGAGAGCAAAATTTAGTGACTTCGTTACAGTACATGGTATAGAGAGTTAAAAAATCGTATAAATACGATTTAAATCATACGGTTGGCAACACTGAGACAGACAGTAGACATGAACAGCAGTGGGAAGTTTTGTATACATAGATGTCAGTAAGTTTTATGTATATCGAAGAATCCTGAATTTAAATTTTTAATTCATGATTGTGTTATTCTCTAGTCTAGATTAAGGGTCATCCTACGTCTGGATTTTTAAGCCCGTGTGCAATAACAATTTAATTTTTCAAAATTATTAAAAACTGCTTGTGCAGGTGATGAAAGAAAACGAATTTCTAGGGATGTATATAGACAAAATGATTATTTTTTTTTAAACATTGCTATTATTCGCGATAGAAAAAGGTAACAATATTACGTATTTTAAGGCGCTAATCATGTCCGTATAAGAAATAATTTGGAAACTCTAATTATATATATCCCTGCTGTAAATCTTTAACTTTGTCCTAAAATGTTCTTTCTTCAAAAAAATTAAAAAATAAGTTATAAATCGCGCACGGCCTGGCCCTTTGCAAGTAACATTTTTCTGACCGTAATGTGGTGCCTTTCGCATTGAAATCTATTAACAACAAAACTAATAGATAAACAATCTATTGACCCGCCTTCGTCAAGTGTGAAATTTGTAACGGCCCGCACCCCCTTGATGATTTTAAGTAAGGGATCGGTTGGAAGATGACTTTTAATACCTAACATTCCCAACAACTTAACATTCCCCTAATCTGTGGAACTTAATTATGTGATACATAACATAGCATAAATAAAATACATACCTATTTGTTTTGCTTGCAGAATGTCAGAAGAGAATGTAGAATCTAGTATAAAATTATCACAAGATACGGCAACGGTAATATTTGCCCTATTGGTGATAGTTCCTACTAGCATTGGTTTTCAAATTAATGAATTAAAAATAAATATCGTGCGTTCGAGACTCGCTACTGGCAGCATTTACGAACTAACAGGAATCATTTTTTAAAATTACGATGTTAATTTACATAACGCAGTGTAATGTACCAATAACTTAAAGCACTCAGTATATTGTTATTCATCTATTTTATCCTATTGTTTGATTATCAGAGACAGAAAGATGTTGATTTGCGAGGTTATCATCCCTCAATATTTACTCTTCTTTGGTATCACATTATTGTCATTCAAGATATCAAAAATCTTCCGATTATTAAGAAAACTTTTGGTAATTACACTTTAACCCCGACAAACAAATGAAGAAGATATAAATGTAACCACCGACAGATATTAGGGCATTAATTAAGTATTATTCATCATATTCACTGTATCCTCAAGTCAAGTTCTCATTTTCTATTTCTTCTATATTTACTATATCTATTTGAATACTTTTACTTAAAACAGTTAATCATATGTAAAGTTGATCAATATAAGTGTTAAACGAAAGAACGTGTTTCACTATCCAGACGTGCCCAAAGGTCCATTACAGCAGATGTTTGGCGTTTTAATAATTATTAGAGCTAAATAAAATATATTATAAAATAAAAAATCTTTTTGTATTTTTTCTTTTGGCTGTGACTGAAATTTGATTTAAAATATATCACGAAACACTCTAATTACTCTAGAGTTTATTTAGTAATACTATAATAAAATAGATGCCTAACAAAGGGCCTCAAAATTGTCTGGCGCCTAGGCCTCATGTTAGATAGAACCGGCCCTGGCGATATGGAAAGTGATATGTTTTTCAACTTGGTCCGAAAAAACCAAAGCGTACTTGTCATGCCCTACGCCTGTATCATGCCTAATCCAAATATCAAAAATAAATTATTAGAGGATTCGCATTCCAATGAAAATAGACTTCAGCATAAGCTCTCTAAACGAATAAAAAATTTAACAACCTTGGGTAATAAGTATCTCTCAGCATCATGATTATAAAGCACTAGATAAGTATAATCATTTAATATATTTTATATAATCGCACACACACACACATACACACACGCACATGCACAACAGTCCACAGTACCTAATAAGACTAAGTAATGGTACATCATATAAAATTCTGAAATCAAGATTTAAAATTTTTTCGTAAAATGAAGTGGTTTTGTTTGATTTTTTTGTGCGCGTTGAATTTGGCGGAATGTTACAAAATTTTAGTCGTATTCCCAGCGGCGGCGCCCAGTCATTTTATCTTGGGCAACGCTTTGGGAAGAGGACTGGCGATAGCAGGCCATGAAGTAACCGTACTTAGTCCTTTCCAGGATAAAAATCCCCCGAAGAATTACAGAGAGGTAGTTTTAACGGGATTTATTGAAGAAAAAAGCGGTATGATTATTTTTTTATTTTATCTAAGTATATATTGTAGTATGAAATTAGGTATAGCCAACAGATAATAAATATAAGATAATTTATTTTAACAAAAAAATAGGAGAATTAATTGCAAAATAAAAAAGATGACATTCATAACAATAATTAAAATGCAAAGGTACCTTTATAATCAAAATCATTCATAGGATATTGTAAATTTTGCGATTAATCAATCTGAAACATTTTTTTTTCTTTTTTGGTAGTTAGACCAGGGCCGAAGCCTTCAAAAATGGTAAAAAATGAAAAAAAATTACAGTAGGATGAAACCCATTAGAAAATCAGGGGAATATGATTAAAATGAAAGGAAAAATAAATTACGGTCGATCCGAGTTCGGAAAGTGGGAGGGGGTGAGTTTTTAAGGGTGAAAAATTGTTTATCTTGATTTCCGGCAAAACTACAAGTCCTATGGAAAAAAGTTAAATGGCAAAGTTGTAGGTCATAAAAAGATCTACAACTTTTGTATTTGCAATTTTTTCACATAACCTCAAAATTTAGGTGAAAAATTCAAAAAACCAAGTTTTTGGTTTTTTATTTATATCTTTTTCAAAAAAAAATTTTTTTCTACGAAATTTGGTGAAAACTTACCTTATTATGTCCCAAATATACTGTAATTTATTTGATTAAAAATATTTATTTTTTCGCCTCATTTTAACATAATATCAAAAAAGCACCCTATTTTTCAATCGAAAATTCTGACGTCAAAATTTCAGCTTTTTTCAAAAAGTTTGGGGGCTTTTTGTTCGTTGAAATATCTACTTTCTGATGGTGTAAAAAAATATACATTACTATAGGAAATATTATTAGAAAATGCAAAAAATTGAAAAAACCTCAAATTCGAAATTTTTTTTTTAATCACTATGTACAATTTTGAGGTATTTATTAAAATTTACACTTTAATTACTCAAAAAACGTAAGATTTCATGTTTTGTTGATAAACGAAAAAATTGCAAATTAAAATATACTTCTATAATTAACAAAGAAATAAGTTAATATTTAATAAGACATCTACAATATTTTGAAAAAGTTGTAGAATCTTCTTTAAATAATATTTGTAGATGCCTATTTATTACTGTTTTAAGATAATTTATATACCTGAGTGACCTTCGGTGAATTTTAGCCCATTGTAAGTTATTTCATTGAGAAGTGGGGACGGACCTAGGAGGGTCTGGATTTGCCGGAAAAGGAAAGAAAAGTATCGTTAATTCTATATTAGACGCGAAAAATTTGTCAAATTTGGCCAATGTTTTTTACAAAAAAGATGAAAGTAAAGAAAATATAAAAAAAATGGATTACAATTAATTAAATCTATTTATAAATGTAAAAAAGAAAAATTAACACTGAATCAATTAAGGTTTCAAAAATATCAATTGGCAAAAATTAAATCATCCTTCATTTTGGCAAACCTCCCACCCACAGAAGGAGCAACAGAACAACATTGTTACAGAGCATATTATCAGCTTCAAACTTGGTTGGGTAACGAATTGACAGCAACAGATTGGGGCTGGAAGCAACATCAGCGTGGCATTATGCCCAAATTTACAGAAAAGGATTTAATTCCGGAAGTATTGCTCAAAACTATTTGCTGCAGCTGTGAAACTGGATGTAACAGTTTAAAATGTGGCTGCCGAAAACATGGTTTAAAATGCACAAATTTATGCACTAATTGTCATGGTTCTGAAAATTGCTCCAATATGGAAGAAAAAATCTACGAGGAAGTAAATGATTCAGATGAAATTGTGGATGAAGAACCAATGCAGACTGGAAATAACATTGGAGACGAAGATGATGGTCTTGAAGATTTCGACGATCAACTAGAGTTGGAAAGATTTGTCGAATCTGACGATAAAGAAATGCCTCCAAAGAGACAAAAACTAATGAATAACTGATTAGAATTTCAGATAAGGTATTTATAAATAACAAGATTAACGTTTTTTTAAAAAAATTTAACGAATAACGTAATCAGAATTAAGTTTCTAAATTCAATAGTACGATTTACATGTATATTTATTTTGTATGAGATTTTCTATGACATGAATGTAATTCGAGTAAAATAAATAAACTTTTTAACTAAAAAAAATTGCAGCAATCACATTTTTTTGATGAAATTGTACATAGTAATTAAAAAAAATTTCGAATTTGAGGTTTTTTCAATTTTTTGCATTTTCTAATAATATTTTCTATAGTAATGTATATTTTTTTTACACCATCAGAAAGTAGATATTTTAACGAACAAAAGTCCCCAAACTTTTTGAAAAAAGCTAAAATTTTGACGTCAGAATTTTCGATTGAAAATTAGGGTACTTTTTTGATATTATGTTAAAATGAGGCGAAAAAATAAATATTTTTAATCAAATAAATTACAGTATATTTGGGACATAATAAGGTAAGTTTTCACCAAATTTCGTAAAAAAAATTTTTTTTTTGAAAAAGATATAAATAAAAAACCAAAAACTTGGTTTTTTGAATTTTTCACCTAAATTTTGAGGTTATGTGAAAAAATTGCAAATACAAAAGTTGTAGATCTTTTTATGACCTACAACTTTGCTATTTAACTTTTTTCCATAGGACTTGTAGTTTTGCCGGAAATCAAGATAAACAATTTTTCACCCTTAAAAACGCACCCCCTCCCACTTCCCGAACTCGGATCGACCGTAATTTATTTTTCCTTTCATTTTGATCATATTCCCCTGCTTTTCTAATGGGTTTCATCCTACTGTAATTTTTTTTGGTTTCAAAAATTATCGACCCTGGTCTAAGTGTGCTTATGTATAATATATAAGTCTAATTTTATTTCTTAATTATTATTCCATAATTCATTTTTGCAAACTATTAGTCTTCGTGGAAATTAATAATATATTACGTTCTCTTGTACCGAAACTTAATGATATTGAACATAGAATCATAGTATTTTTTTTTTGTTTGGAATTTACCCATTATGGATCAGTATATAGAAGAATAATATCATAATAAACCAATTAAATCCATTCAAATAGAAAATGTTTCTGATTTCAACGGATTTATTTCTGAGGGGAATTTCAAAATTTTCCACACAAATATCCAAAAATGCTAATCCACATCTATTTAAGTTCAATAATGAAAAAAGTTGAAATAATCATTTTTAAAGAAACTTTTTTTGTATATGATAAGGATATTTTTGGGTTAGAAGGATTTAATACTATGTATAATAAAGGGGAACATAACAGAAATGACGGTATAGTGATTTTCATTAAGGAAAACTTAAACTACGAATGTTCTGTTATTGAAATGGAAAATGTCAAAATCTTGCAAATAAAAAGTTTAACAGATTTCAAAAAACTTGTTATTACTTTAATATATCGGTCGCCCAATAGCCCAATACATGTATTTCTTGATGACCTTGTAATATATCTTGACACATTGGAGCGCCAATTTGTAATAAAATGTTAATTTCAAAGCACATTTAAGAAATTTTGACTAGCTCAAAAAAATTTAACACCAAACATTACTTACCTTTATTCAAATTAAAAAGAAATTAGCACATTGACCATAGTTTTCTCAGTAGTGAATTCGGCTTTTCTAATAGACACCTTTGGTATAACAGTTTTCTAGGAGAGAGGGGCGCCAATTATTATCTTTTTTTTTATTTTTAGAAAGCTAGTGAGAATTATAAACTCTAGCTTTGTCAAAAAGAAATTAATAAAAACTTTGAGTAAAAGAGAATTGTTGTAACCTTAAAAAATAAGATTTAACCTTAGATTATACAACCCTTAGATGGAACATAAGACACTGCGCATAATCCTATTTCGAAATTATTCACACCCACCAATCACAGTTGTGGACATCACATGTCAGAGCGTTATTTGTCCAAATTTATTGTGTCAACGAGAATTAATTTGGTATTTTAGTGGCTTAAATCTTGGAAATAAACGTTGAAAATGCCGAGATGTGTTGTAAAAAGCTTTATTTATAATAAAAGTACGAAGTGTGACGGTGATAAAGAAAATTTACATTTATTTCGGTGAGTTTTTAAAGTTATTTAGTTAGTTAGTTTTTAAAGACTCTATCGACGGCTATATTTGTTTATTTGAAAATAAACAGAACCGGACTTGGTAATTGGTACAAATTATAAGTAGCAAATAAAGGTTATTATTATAAACTGTTTACTATTTCTTGTTTTATGGGGAATCTTTTTTCAGGAAGTGGAAAGAGTAACATACAATCAAATACAAAAATATCAATTTCATTACCAATTTATTCGTTTCAAACTTCACAACGGGTTTTAATAGTTTTTTCAAAACTATTTATTTAGCATTTCTCTGTAATAATATGGGATCGATCCATTTAATTTATATTTTGTTTAAAGGTATTTATTTATAAGTTAATTTTCTTTAATATAAATACTCTCTCTTTATACAAGGTGACTCAATGAAAACTGGATGGAGGTTTTTGGTATTAATATCATGGATATTAAAAAACGCTCAAACAGATCGATTTTAGTTTGAAGGAGGACATCTTTTTATCCTTAACTGTTATACGTATTTCCCCTACACTCTGTTACTCTAACAAATGCAAGTTAAATAGTTAAATAGTTGTTTTTGTTTTTGACATAATTGACATCATTCAAATCTTAACCTGTTTAATTCGCCAAAATGTGAAGTGCTTGTTTCTAAATGACATTTACTTAGCTAAATAATTAAATAATTTTTTATTGAATTAGAAAAATGAAATGCTTTATATGTAATATCACTAAAAGTATTATCGTTTAATGCTGATACATTTCATAGTCCAAGCGGCGTTAGATAGGGGGGGTAAGACCTATGATGCTCACTGTATTTTGTGTTAGTAAGTATTTTGTTATATTAGATTCAATATATTCACAAAATAGTTTCCAGGTGGCTCTTTTTAAGTTCCATTTTGGCGGCATAGGTAGTGTTTTTGGATTAAGTTAGTTAGTTTCAATTAATATGGGATAGTGATC